CCCAGCAGGATCGTGTCGTCCTCGCCGGGCATGACGGAAAAACGGAATGGCTCCAACACCACCGGACCCCACTCCGTGTGCAACGCCAGCCGCAACGGACGTCGTTGTAGGCACTAAACTGCCGTCTGCCATCCGTACATGATGCGCACCCTCCATAGGATGCGTGACCGAAACACTAGGAAAGCATGCTTGTAACTTGCGCGCGACGCGCTCAGACATTGACGTCGAATCTGACCCACAGTCGAGCACCGCACGCACCGGGCACACCGTAGACTCAGCTGCTTCCGGGAAAGACAAATGAGACAAACACCACGTTCCACTGCGATCCACATCGACACCTTCGTCGTGCAGGCTCGCGACGCTATCCATGGACTGGGACCGCCACGCCGGAACCGTCGTAGCGTGAGGCGACTCCGTAGTCCCTTGAACGGGAACAGGCGGCGGGGAAAGTGCTGCTGCCACCCCATCGCCCCCACCTTGCTTCTGCTCCTCCGGAAAATCGGCCAAACTCTGCACGGTTGAACCTGGCTGCTGACCCGCTCGCTGCTGACCCCCCTGCTGCTGCTGACGAGGTCGCGCCGACGACTTTCCAGACTCTGCCACCGCTGGCGCAGGTTTGCCCCGAGACTTCTCAGACGATGCCTGCTTGCAGTCTCGAGCGATATGGCCTGGCTTGTCACATACCCAGCAATTCCCAGAAGAGTCGGACTGGCCACCGCGCCCACTGCCGGAATGCTGACCCCGCGCCTTGTCAGCCGCGCCACCACGAGCGGCCTTGTCAGACTTATCGCCAGCAACACGAGCTCCGCCACGGGTTTTACGTTCCGCGTCACGGTTTTGACGCTCCGCATCTACCTTCTCTGTTTTCTTCCAGTCAGCGGCCTCCTTGACCATCACAGCTAATACGCGCCCAGGCTCCGTCGTCCAATTTCCTTGGAGCTGCAGATACCTCTCCACGTTTACCTTGAATTCTGGAGGCGAATTTCTTTCACCAGAGCCTTGCTGACTACGTGCGCCGACTCTTCGAGCCAGTCGTCGTGGGCGTTGCGGTACAGCCGCGCCACATTCGGGTTCTCTGCCAGGTAATATTCCAACGCGCTGTGAACAGCATATACTCGTTCCAGCACCGTTGCCGGGCGCCACCACGCGTTCATACTCCGCGTACCGAAGGAGAAACCGCCTAGATGCAGCAGCGGACAGCGTCTTCCCATATTCGGGTGACTCCTGGGTGGAGCCGAGCACTACCCCGGTCACACTCACCCGAGTAGGACTCGCTTCGCCGTCCGCGGCACGGCACTGCCGCCGCGTCCACTTCTGCCTCGCCCTGCCATCTCCTGACCACTCTTCGCGACCAGGACCTTTTTTCTTGTCGTTGCAGCTCACCTCGCCGCAACCGCAGCAGACTCTCACACCAACTTCGATGCGAGGTACGTACTCCAGTCCACTGCTGTACACAACTTGAAACCTCCGACCGATCTTCGAAGAGACCGCCAGATAGACTAGTTAATGTGGAACCCTCGTCCAATCGAGGGAGTTTGTTTGTGCTCTGAGGAGCCCTCGTGTTAGTTTCCTAACCTCAGAGATGCAAGCCCGTTGGTTAACACACCACACAGTTCTTCATCATTCAGGACTGACCTCGACGAGGCATCCACACATACATGTTCATCGTCGAAGTCACGTCGCATTCCTCTTCATGCACGTCACACGTGANAGTACTTTATTCCACAGATGCTTTTCTCGGGTAGCGGCGGATGGGCTGGCTGCTCACGGCAGACGGGTGCATCCTATCCCACGTGGTACCGACATCTCAACCTAATTGACGCTCGTGTAGAACACTAAATATGTTCCTCTTACACAAGATTACTCCGTGCTTTCTTTTTTTTTTGGGTTCCCTCAGCAGCGCTCAGAAAGACGAACCTGAAACAGCAATAATTTTGAAGAGTGTACGCAAACTCAAGAGTTGAAGCTACGGCTTGTGGGCTGGTACCCAGCAACACCTTATCGCGATGCGCGGATACCTGACTTGCAGCAAGTGTCCTGCAACGAAGCTTGTTCTGCGCTCCACCGAACATGTGCCTGTACTATTACGGGGACTACGGCAATGTTAAGGCCGAAGGTTTTTCGCCTCTGACGGAAATGTACGAAAGTGCGGGTGATGTCGTCGGTCGCTTCAAGCACTCCCTACCCCCCGTCGCGGCATGCCGTGCAAATCCCGCTTTTTTCCTGGGCTGGTCTGGTGGAACACCCGATTTCCGGTGGTGCGGTAGTGCGCCAAGGCGTGGTTTTGGAGAGGCAAAGCGAAGATGGACGCCGGAGACCTGGAAGGGAGCTCCACCGATTTGAAAGAGGTGAACGATCGAGAGGTCTCAGCAAGAAAATTGTGAACGCAGCTGGGGCACGCTTCGTACTGATGGTTGGTGAGGAAGAGGGAGGAGAACGCGATCGCCAGTTTCGTTTTACGTCAAGTGTGCTTGGAGTGCGGCATATTTTCTGTTGCCCTGAGCACTCGGCAAGGAATCGCCCCCTGCCATTCACATAAAGCCAGCGCGATTTTTTGCGTTTCATACACCCGGCTGTTGCACGGTAGCAATTGCGCGGAAAAGGTTTCGGAAACACAGGGAGGGATGGCAGAGGAGCAGCTCTAATTTTTTTGTAATAAACGTCCCACCACCCACCGTCCTCGCAAAACGCCCCGGAATCTCCATGCCGCCCCGTTTCCCCGCGACCATTACGCACCATCAACACGCAGGCCGCAAAACTAGCACCTGGGGACAAGCCGGTCAGGTTAGCCTTGAAAAGCTTGCGCATCAAGCAGAAAGAGGTTGAAGCCGCGCGGCGGAGTCTCTGGGGAGGCGTGTTCAAGGGAGGGGCTGCGAAGACCCCAGCCCCGGGGCAGCGGCAAGTGGAAGAGGCGGCTGCGCGGGCCAGAGGGGAGGGGCTGCAAGACCCGGGGAGGGGGGGTGGTGGTGACCGGCGAGGGGGCACCGGGGGGGACAGATTGTTGTACGCTTCGATCGCGGTTGGGTTGGTTGCATTTGCTGTTGCGGGCTTCACCGCTGCCAAGTACGCGTAGTCGCTCCCCGTGTTGTAGATGCCCTAAGGGCAAGGTTCGGAGTGCCCTTCCATCGTACGCACGTGTATGCCGGAATTGGTCGTACACATTATTGAAGAACTGTCCATAGTGCGGGAGCCGGGGACGAGGCCACCGTGCGAAGGTAGAGAGCAATGAGAGAGTGTCGCTGCCATCGCCTTGGGTTGTCGGAGGCGAAAGCTTAAACCGTACACCCAACGTGAACCAGATTCGACTTTGGTTTGGCTGCGGCTGGAGCGAGCCTTGGAAAGGTTGCGTCGCCGCGTGGATAAGAAGGCGCGGCCAATGTTGTCGAAAATCGTAGCAAATGACGTATTTCCCCTGCGATTCCTGGTTCCCCCTTCCACCTTGTCGTTGCCCACCCACTCGCTCGGTAGAGACACCTAGCCGACGATAAATATGGCGGCAAGAGGCGTGCGCCACGTGCAAGTGGTGAGTATCTGCGTGCACTGCTAACGTGGCTTCCAATGAGGCTTGTCATTTCGTTCGTTCGGCCTTTCTCTCCATTCCACCGACAGACTAGGCAAATTTGGAGGAGTGCAACAAGATTTGCGTGTTCGCAAAGTTAACCCGAAACACCCGAGAACCAAAGTTTAGAAACACCGCCACTGCGTATGTCCCTTTCCTGCTTGAGGTTGAAGGTGGCCTCGACCTTAGGAATATTTTAACTGGCTCCACCACTATGAACTTGCAGCAAAGCAAGCACGCAAGCTTTGGCGAGCTTTCCAGCTCCTTTGACCCCAAGCACAAGCATACGACGGGGTGTCCCTTCCCACGGTTTCCTTGCGTAGATGCTGTTTAGGATGGATTTCTAGCGTGTTCTTGTTGCGTTCTGTCTATCGCGGCTAACTGAAAGTTGTCCTGGCAATCAGTAGAGAAGCCCACACACGCCTCGCCCTTTGGACCTCGACGACGACGTGTAAATGCACTCTCTCTTGCCCCTAAAAGCTTCAAAACCCCGCAAACAACCCATCGGGATCGACATCCGTGGCACTTGTGCCCGTGTGTTGTACGTCCAAGTGTTCGAGCTCCCCTAGATCCTTTCGAAACGTCGGGGGCTCGGTCTCCAGCTGGCGTTTTGCATGGGGATGAGCGAGGAAGGACAAAAGCAAGCATAATCGTCAGGAGATTCTTCCTACTTATAATAGCAGGGCACCAAGTTATTTTCCACAACCAGAAATACTTGACATGGTTGCTTGGGACGATCCTGCAGCTATGGTTCTGTTGTTCGTTTTTTCCGGCCGCCACGTTGGTCCCAACATTTCTAGAGCCAATGTTTTCGGATCAGAAATGCCCCCATCACTTAGTATGGTGGTAAGGTGTCTCTTCATACGTAGGTGGGCCGTTGATCCGGCACCCCCACCTACCTTGGAAGTTCTCTCCCAATCCACATCTGCGAACCATGCGTGCGACATCACTTCCTCGGCGTCCCTTGAGGAGCCAAGGCGCTGGTGGGGATCGGTGTCAAGTAGCCGCCTGCGGCGCCCAACAAGAGGTCACGTGGGACAAAGAGGAGGGAGGTCCGTGAGGGCGAGGGCCCCAGGACTGTCCTGAGGGCTTCGAGCCGGCTCCCCTACCCCAACCCCGACCCAAAGCACGCAACAAGTTCACGGCCGGTCCTCAGTAGTAGAGGCCATCAACGGAATGGGTGCACGCAAGTCCGCACCTCACAATTGGCAACACCTTTGGTTCATCAACATTTCGATTGTCCTCGTCTTCCCGTTCGCCCGGTCCCAGGGGTTTCTCTCTCGGCAAACCCGCCGTGATTCTCTTCGTCAAATCGTCCCCTCCGTACCCGAAAGGCGGCTCGCCGTTCACCATCTCGTGCACAAGGATTCCCAATGCCCTGCGTGCGGCGGCGGGAATCGCAGAGAGTCGAAACTCAAGTCCTTGGTAACGAACAGAAGTGAGGAATGAAGTTGTAATACACGAGTCTCCCGGAGGCGGTGCGGTCAGGTCAGCACAAGCAACACGTTTATCGACCGAGGGCGGGAATCGAATCCAAGGGAACGAAACGGTCGCTTCATGTAAGCCAATCACACTAAAATCGGCGGGAACGAGGAACACAAAGAAGTCGTCGCCAACCCAAGAATACAATGTGGTAGACTAGTCATGCCGAACAATCTACAGCACCAGCAGGTCCTCGACATTAAGTCATGCTGAAGGGCACTCACCACCAGTCCACGGCCATCCCGTGCCCTTCCCGTGACACCATCTCTGGAGCCATACTGTGAGGTGTCCCACAATATGTGTACGTTTTCTGGAAAGAAAACCCTCCGGTGGCAGCAACGTCGCCATCGTTACAAACCCCTGTTTGCCTTTTCAGCTGCTTTGAGCACCCCAGGTCGACTATTTTGACGTGCCCGCTAGCACTGAACACGATGTTGCTCGCCTTCAAGTCGCGATGGACGAATCCCTGAGAGTGCATATGTGCTATTGCTAAAGTTATTTCGGATGCATAGAATACCGCCGCGGTCACCTGCCAAGAGGAAGCAACCCAGGTATCTTTCGGTTAGAAGAAGATCGGTCAACAAGAGGAAATAAGAATGAAGAACACATCTCGCTGTACCTTAATGCATACCAGTTCCGAAGTTGTTCGTATAGCTACGACTAGCGAATCACCCCTTTGAGCATTCCACTCAGGAAATTGGTAGGTTAATGTTCCACCATTCACAATGCTCGTTTAGCTGCTGCAGTGGATTCGGCAGCAGACCTTTGCATCACTTGACAACCTACATGCAACGATTGCGAAAAAATCGCATTGTAGCCCTGATAATCGAGACAGTATCATCCCGTCCAGGCTAGGTAAGCGTGTGCGTGTTCGTCCCATGTATATGGCATTCTGGCGCCAATCTGCACCTTTCGGTGAACGTGTATCACGTATCAGCCGGGGTCACACAGGAGCCCCAGATACATGCAATCGATAATAGTATTCGTGCCCGTGTGCTCACCTCCAAATGACCCCTTGGCCCCGCCCGAATGTGACGATGTAGAGGACCTCCAAGAAGTGGCTCTAGAACAAAATACAGATGTTCATCATCTTTTGATGTGTAGCGAAGATCCACGATTCCATGATGCTGTTTGGAAGTCGAGTACGAACAAAGTACATCACCGAGAGGATTTACGACGTGTCCTTGGGAAGTGGCCGATCAACGGTATTATTCTGGGCCCGAACGGGGCAGCTGAAGTTCACATACTTCGTATTTCTCAACGCCCCCGAACGCACCGTGTCATAATCAGGCCGTCGGTCGTGAAAGGTTTCTTCACTTCGTCTTAAACGGATTTGCTCGCCTCAGACAGCTCATCACATACATGTGTGACGATACCGCTCACTGTACTAATATCGTGTGCAGTATTCACGCGCGGTCGCATATCTTTGATCCTGCACCTGTGTGCGCGCCTTTTATCTACTGTAGAACCAACCTACTTGGAGCAGTAGCACGTGTTCTTGCGCATACAGTCTGAACCATATGTACGGTGTACCGTCAGCACAACCGTGGCACATGTGTGCCAATAACGAGGGAAAGATCAAGCAACCCGAAACTGACTACAACTTGTACATGTACCGTAGCGGAGATCGACATTTTCGTAGCCTCTTCTACTATATAGTTTAGGGTTTACACCATCGGTTATGATTTTGAGATTTGACGTGAAAGATTGACATCTCGGGAAAAAATTGACACCAGAAGGTTCCGCCGCGCTTCTGGAGACAAAATTCTCACGACGATACTTTTTCAGACCGTATAAAAAAAAGGACATGAAAAGATTGACTGCAATTCTCCAGGTGGCACACTCCGTCATGTTCTCTCAGCTACCGTCACCGGAAAGGAGCGACGCCAGCAGCAAACGCATCCACCACCCCTACCGAAACATCCTACGCGGTCCTGTACACACGTATTGGCGAGTTCGCGCGGCATCGCGCGCCCGGAGTCGCGTGTTCGGCGCGCGCATTCGATGTTGGCAGAGGCGTGTGTGTACTACTACTAGCACAGCAGCAGCACCTTGATTGACTGCAGTGATCAGGGTTGTCCTGCCCCCGAAGGGAGCAGAGAGAGAGAGGCATAAGGGAGGGTGCACGGACTTGGCCGGGCAAGTGCCCCTCACCCAACCCCGTCGCCTCACGGAGTTGGGGTTGGCGCTGGGGCGCTTGGTACTGCCAGCAGCTTGCCCGTCGCGTGTTCGACGCGCGCTTTCGATCGTTGGCAGACGGGTGTGTGCTAGCACAGCAGCAGCACCTTGATTGCAGTGATCAGGGCTGTCCTGCCCCCGAACGGAGCAGAGAGAGAGGCATAAGAGAGGGGACACGGACTTGGCTAGTCAACTTGGTGCATCTCACCCGACCCCGTCGCCTCACGGGATTGGGGTTTGCGCCGGGGCGCTTGGTGCTGCCTGCAGCTTGCCCGGCGACAGCAGCAGTCTCTTTTCTTATTTCGGCGGTTCTTTTTCATTTTGTTTTCATTTTGTTTTCTCTTTCCTGACTGTTTCCTTTCTTTTATTTTCTTAATATTACACAACACATCCATCTCTATCTATAGAAATAAGTCTAACATAGGTTAGCAATGAATCCATAGCGTGAGCGAAAGGCTACCTGTATGTCTACGGCCCTTTTTTTTTTCTTAATATCACACAACAAATCCATCTCTATCAATAGAAATAAGTCAAAGAAAGATTAGCAATGAATCCATAGCGTGAGCAAAAGGCTACCTGTATGTTTACGTTTTTGTTCTCATTTTCCCTGTTTTCTTTTTTTCTCACTTTTTTTCTCTCTTTTTCTGTGCCAGATGGCCTTGTCTCTGCTTGCGTTGTGAAGTACCAAGATTGAACCAAGGGGGTGTACCTCTTTCTCTCCTGCCTGCGATGGTGATTCCTAGTCTCAGTTGTTACCTCGCATAGCGCGCGGAAGGAGTGGAGGACTCCAGAATACTTGTCGTTGATTTCTATTGACTTGCGGACCCCTCCGGGCCAGTTTATTTGAGTGTACCTTTAGCGTATAAGGGCCGTTTTGAACGGACCGACTTTTTGTCAAAATTTTTGAAAGTGTCAAAAAAAATGGAACCTGTATGTAGGCGTTTGTCCATTTTTTTCAAAAATATTTGGAACGAAGTTGGGCGCGAAAACTTTGCTCCACTTCGTTCCAACTTTTTGACAACCCTCTCAAAGTATTTGGAGCACTTTCCAAAGTACCCTTGCAGAGGCACGCGAGGGCTGCTGCGTCTGCACCACGAGTGCCCCTCACCGTAGAAAGTCAGCTAGGGTTGTGTGTGAGTCATCTGTCGCTGTCGCTATTGCTATCGTCGCTGTTGTCAACGTTGACGATGCTGTCTGCTGTTGCTGTGTCGTCGAAAAACGGCGGTCCGCCATGATGGCTTGCAGTTGTTGCTTCGCGTCCGCCGCTTTGTTTTTTCCTTTTCCCGGGGGGGTAGGAGCAGTGGTTGCCACCCCTCGCCGGCGGCCTGCTCCACCCTCGCTCTGAGTGTTGGTGGCGGCAGCGCCTCCCGTGGTAACATGAGTGTTCCCCGAGATGCCAGGCAGCAGCACTATCTTGCTGGAGAGCAAGCCTCCACCGCCTACGGCGGCACCGAGAGAGCCCGTCTGCTGGAATTTCGCCGGGGTTTTGGTCTGCCGGCCACGCTGGGTGGTCGTGATATCCATGTCGGTGTCCATGATGTCGTGTTTTCCGCGGTTTTTGTTGTGTCGTGTGTGTTGTCTCGAAGTGAGCGCTACAACTCACGGACGGCGTCATTTTTTTTGACACAAGTTGCACAAGTCCACGTCACACGTTTAAAATGACTGCACACAGGTTCCAAGTTTTTGGAAGACAAATGTCGAAAATTTTGACGAAAAAGTCGGTCCGTTTAAAACGGCCGTAAGTTAACCTGTGACCACGGGAATCGACCGCGTCGAGTGTTGGATCAGTACGGACATACGAAGGTACTGGGTAGAGAGGGATCGGAACGGCTTTTAATGTGAACACAACAACAACAACAACAACAACAACAAGAGTCAACGGGCACAAGCTGCGCATTTATTTCGCGTCAAAATTTCAACCTTGACTTCGGACTGGCGTCAAGCCTCAAACGTCAAACTTCCACGTCAAAACAATGTGTAAACCCTCTAGTCTGCATACATAGCGCGCCCAGGCTTGTTTCACCCACCCCTCTGAGATCCTGAAGCGCTTTCTTCTCCTGTAGAACCTGCCGGATGGATCCGTTGTTTTTCACGCATTGTCGACGAACTCGCTTAACAGCTTGGAACCCGTGATGTTGGTGCTCGCCGCAAGTTCGCGCTTCGTTTGGTGCGCTTGATGAAATCGGCTCGATGCAGAGCGCCACACTACCCGTCCGTCCGCTGCCCAGCTCTACGATTTTACGCCAGCTGCCAATGTCAGCTTTTTCTCTGGTCCCCATTCGAATATCCGAACGCGAAAGGCCCGCGGTGGCGTGGGGCGTGAGGCTGCGCGCGCTCGTGTGCTCATGTATCGCGTGCCGGGCGCCAACAATTTCAGATTTGGTTCAGTTTACAAATCACAACCTTCCGAACCGGTATGGATTGCACCGCACTGTAACTGCTCGCGGTCCCTCTTGCACAACACACCGAACGTGATCACGTAATCACTCCCGAGCGAAGGCGCTGTTCGCTGTGGGACCGACAGCAGCGCTTTACCTAGGAATCGAGACCATCACAGCGCAGCTCAGCCTCCTCTTACAAAATGTTGGCAAAGCATAAGGTGAGTGGTTGCCCAGGCAGCAGCTGAGCGTGGCAACGGTTACTGTGAGGCACTCGTTGTGTTGTACCGGACATATTGCGCGTGGTGACAACCCGGTCCCGAGGGCCAGGGGCGGTGAGGCACATAAAGTAGTGAATGGCATTTCTTGGTCGCTGACTTCACTCCGAGTGAAATCGCCCTTGACGTCGTCAGGCACACGTGAGTCACTCGTGAGCTAGGACGTGTACAGCTGCGTATGATACAGGTCACGTACGAGAATGCTGCTATTATTTGTAGTCAAGACAACATATGCGTATCAAGCAGCAGCTCTAGCCGTAAAGGATTAACGTTTCTCTCAATCAACGTCCAGAAGATCATTGTCATATGCTGCACATACCAGCCCTAAAGGACAGAGAAGTTCGACCTACTGCTGTGGTGGGCTAAAAGAAAGAGGGGTTGCTTGTCCACCAGGATATGGTCTGGACTGCTGTCGTGTAAGTCACCGAATAGGTTTACTCCTGTTGTTTCCATGAAGTTCAAAAGCCATCTGGTGCCTCGAACCCACCCAACCACAAAGATAAAATGGGCAATCATGAACGCGGGCGAGGAAATGCCTTCGCCACGGGCAACAAAAAGATTCGAGACCACATCGCTCGCCGGAACGGAGTACGTCGCGTCCCGCCGAGGGGAGGTACGAGCTAATGTATGAATGAAGATGATAG